AGAGCTTCATGACACACCACAAAGAGTGAGGAATCCACACATTAAATACAGATACCTGCAAGAAAGATCTGCTAATGAGGGGGCAGCAGAGATTTCATGACACACCACAAAGAGTGAGGAATCCACACATTAAATACAGATACCTGCAAGAAAGATCTGCTAATGAGGGGGCAGCAGAGATCAGCCTTGCAGGGCAGGTCCCCGGCAGCTTGCCACAGCCACACTGGGGCGAGGGAGCTTGGGGAGCTGGGCAATGCCTAATTGGCAGGCTTTCCATTTTCCTGCCTTCTTCTAAGTACCAAGAGGATGAATTTCTAATGGAGAGAGAAAGGGCTTTTCCTCTGCCCCAGCTCTTTATGTGGGCAGGACCAATTCACTAAAACAAAAACAAAAACGAAAAGCCCAAGTTACCCCTTGGCTACTGGGGAAAGAAATGTAGCCAAGGATGGGAAGAGGTAGCAAAAGAGAGAGTGTGTATCCAATAAGAAAAAAGTTGAGAAGGATGATTCTAAAGGCCAGAAAGCTAAATTCAATTCTCAGGAATATCTTCCTTGCAGAATGAATACCAGGGATAAAGCCAGGGAGGACAGTATTCTATCAAAATGTGCAGTGCTAAGGTATTTCCAAAAGCAGATTTCCTACAAATGGTATTTTAAATAGCATCCTGGTCCAACTGCATGCTTTTAAAATCAGCTTATGCTACAGTCTCCCTCTGGCCAGTGCTGCTTAGTCATGGAGCCTGGACAGTGAGACAGTCAGGTGAGCCTTGTCCTGCTCTCCCAGGACCGAGCCCTATTCAGCTGTTGGAACCCCTCCTGCTAGTTGAACTTCCTATTGAAAAGGGTGGGGTGGGATGAAGACCAGCCCCTGGAGCTCCTGGCTTCCAGTTCCAATTCAGACTTGCCATTCCCAGATGATGTTTGGCAACGCTTCCTGAAACTCAGTCAATGGGAAACCAGACCTGGCCCAACACTTCGGGGTGGGGACATCTGTTGATTGCTAACTACCTCACTTTTTCTTTATCAGGGAAATGGGGAAATTGTATGTGCGTGTGTGTGTGACATCAGGTAATATCTGGAAGCCATGATTTTCAGATGAATGGTGATATGTTACCATGGTGATTTTAATTTTTTAAAAAAATCTACTCCTTTATAAACTCACATTTCATGAGTGAGACTGCCAACATTTAGCTTTTTTGTACACCATGATCAAGTGGGATTCATCCCAGGGATGCAAGGTTGGTTCAACATATACAAATCAATAAACATGATACACCACATCAATAAAATCAAAGACAAAAACCATGTGATGAGCTCTATAGACACCAAAAAAAATATGACAAAATTCAACATTTGTTCATGATAAAGACTCTCCACAAGTTAGGCATAGATGGAAAGTATCTCAACACAATTAAAGCCATATATGATAAGCCCACTGCCAATATCATCCTGGACTAGACAAGGATGCCCACTCTCAACACTCCTATTCAACGTACTGTAAGAAGTACTAGCCAGAGCAATCAGAGAAGAGAAGGAAATAAAGGGCATCCAGATTGGAAAAGATGAAGTCAAACTGTCCTGTTTGCGGATGATATAACCCTATATATTGAACAGCCAAAAGCCACTACAAAAGAATTATTAGAGTTGATAAGTGATTTCAGCAAAGTTGCAGGATACAAAATTGACACACAAAAATCAGTAGCATTTCTATATTCCAACAGTGAACATGCAGAAAAAGAAATCAAGAAAGCTAGCCCATTTACAATAGCCACCAAAAAAATAAAATACTTAGGAACAAAGTTAACCAAGGATGTGAAAAATCTCTATGAAGAAAACTACAAACCACTGCTGAGAGAAATTAAAGAGGACACAAGAAGATGGAAAGATATCCCATCGTCTTGGATTGGAAGAATTAACATTGTGAAAATGTCCATATTACTCAAAGTGATCTACAGATTCAATGCAATCCCCATCAAAATTCCAATGACATTTTTTCTCAGAAATGGAAAAAACTATCCAGACATTTATATAAAATAACAAAAGACCACGAATAGCCAAAGCAATCCTGAGCAAAAATAAATAAATAAAGCTGAGGCATAACACTACCTCACTTTATACTACAAAGCTATAATAACAAAACCAGTATGGTACTGGTATAAAAACAGACACAGGGATCAATGGAATAGAATAGAAAACCCAGAAATCAACCCATACACCTACAGCCATCTGATCTTTGACAAAGGTACCAAGTCTACACACTGGGGAAGAGACTGCCTCTTCAGCAAATGGTGCTGGGAAAACTGGATATTCACATGCAGGAGAATGAAACTAGACCCGTACCTCTCACCATATACCAAAATCAACTCAAAATGGATTAAAGAATTAAATATACATTCTGAAACAATAAAACTGCTTAAAGAAAACATAGAGGAAACACTCCAGGACGTAGGAGTGGGTACAGACTTCATGAATATAACCCTAAAAGCACAGGCAACCAAAGGAAAAATAAACAAATGGGATTATACCAAACTAAAAAGCTTCTGCACAACAAAAGAAACAATCAACAGAGTTAAAACACAACCAACAGAGTAGGAGAAAATATTTGCAAAATATACATCTGACAAAGGATTAATATCCAGAATATACAAGGAACTCAAAGAACTTCACAGCAAAAAAAACCAAATAACCCAATTAAAAAATGGGCAAAGGAGCTGAATAGATTTCTCAAAGAAAGTTATATGAATGGCCAACAGACACATGAAAAAATGCTCAACATCACTCAGCACTTGGGAAATGCNCACAACAAAAGAAACAATCAACAGAGTTAAAACACAACCAACATAGTAGGAGAAAATATTTGCAAAATATACATCTGACAAAGGATTAATATCCAGAATATACAAGGAACTCAAAGAACTTCACAGCAAAAAAACCCCAAATAACCCAATTAAAAAATGGGCAAAGGAGTTGAATAGATTTCTCAAAGAAAGTTATATGAATGGCCAACAGACACATGAAAAAATCCTCAACATCACTCAGCACTTGGGAAATGCAAATCAGAACCACTTTGAGATACCATCTCACTCCAGTTAGGATGGCTAATATCCATAAAACTGACAATGATAAATGCTGGCAATGTTGTGGAGAAAAGGGAACTCTCATATACTGTTGGTGGGACTGCAAAATGGTGCAGCCTTTATGGAAAATGGTATGGAGGTTCCTCAAACAATTACAGATAGATCTACCATTTGACCCAGCAGTTCCACTGCTGGGAATATACCCAGAGGAATGGAAACCACGCCAAAGGGATACCTGTACTCCCATGTTTATTGCAGCATTATTTACAATAGCCAAGAGTTGGAACCAGCCTAAATGTCCATCATCAGATGAGTGGATAAGGAAACTGTGGTATATCTACACAATGGAATACTACTCTGCTATAAAAAATAATGAAATACTACCATTTGCAACAAGATGGATGGACTTAGAGAAAATTATACTAAGTGAAACAAATCAGGCACAGAAAGAAATACCACATGTTCTCACTTATTTGTGGGAGCTAAAAATAAATGAATAAATAAATAAACAAACAAATAAATGGTTGGGGGGGGGAAGAAGACACAACAATCACAAAAATTCCTTGAACTTTTTAAGTCAAGTGAACAGATATGGTGATAAACAAACAAATAAATGGTTGGGGGGGAAGAAGACACAATAATCACAACAATTCCTTGAAGTTGTTAAGACAAGTAAACAGATACAATGTAGACTGGGGGGGCAGGGAAGAAAGGTAGGGGGGAAAAGAGGAATGGGTAAAGGGACACGAAAATCAACTACAATGTATATTGAGAAATTAAAATTTTAAAAAAATCTACTCCTTTAAAAACTCACATTTCATGAGTGAGACAGCCAACATTTATAGTTTAGGATTTTCTAGGTCCAGGGTTTCCAGTTGTGCAAGCAAGAGCAAGATGCCTTGGGGCAGTGACTGAGGAGATTCCCTTTGAAAAAGACCTTTGGCCTGTCTAGGCTGAGCCACGTGTGCCCCATTTTGATAATTCACAGCCCGACAGACCAAGGCCTGGTGGAACGGCAGCACTATAGAAGAGACACCCCTTGCCTCCTTCCCCAGTTCTCTTCCAGGGAAGGATGAGCAGCTTCTGGGAACCACACTCTCCTTCCAATCCTGAGAGCCGTTCCACAGTCTGCAGGGACCACCATGCCTGCGCTCCCATGACAGCCCCCAGCCCCCATCCAGGTGAGACGCTGGCCATTTCCAACCAGCCCCCATATGCTGAGTGTGCCGAACCCCCAGCACATCACCAGCGCTGGCTGCAGAACCAGAATGCCATGTGTCCTAAGAAAGCTGAGTGCCAGACATTCATCCATATGTACAACAAAAGCCCTGCACACCCACACAGACCACACCTCTGGGAGGCGCAGACACTGAAGACACCAGCTGAGACAATTCAATGCCTCGCTGCCACGCATGACGGCCAGTTCAGATCCCATCCCTGACAAACTGAATCTCTCATTATTTATTGTCCTCTTTCTTCTCTGGGACATTGTGATTCCCTCTCAGGATTTGTGCCCTTTCATTTCCAGACCTCGGTAACTCCTGAACTGTAGTTTCATGTGGTTTTGTGATTGTTAACCCAGCATGTGGAAGGGACTCAGGCCATCATGTTCAGTGAATCCTGTGTAGGGAGACACGGACTGGCAAGGCATTTTCTCCTTCATTTGAAGTCAGAGAACACTCTGTAAGCTCTCTCTCTGCTGTGCAAGATGCAGCAGCAGCCAGGCTGTTGAGAAACAGTGCTTTCCAACCACTTTACCATAAGAAAGAGGATTTTCATGGCCGGCGCATCACTTTCCTTCATCAATTATTTGAGTCTCACTGAACAAGACCTTCTTCCCTGTGTGGGGTCAACTCGAAGCTCCTCCTGTCCCACGCCTCCCGTGCCCTTCTAGTGTGCCTTTGAGGAGGGGAAATGGATTTACCTTGTGGTTTTTGCCATGCCGGTACACCATCCAGTCTTCACCATTAGTGCTGACCTCCAGCTTGTACGATTTGACAAAGTAACCATTCTGGGTTTCCCTGGAAATTGCTCCCTGTGTCGCAATGGCCGTGAGCACGGTTAGAAAGCGTAGGTCCACCTGGGAAGACAGGGGGGCATCAGGGGGCCACCACTCCCAACATGAGGCAGCATCTTACTTTTCCTCAAGGGACATGATCATTATACTTAGCTCACAACCTGTGTTTGTGATTCACTGAGACGTATTTGTAACTAGTATCAGTTTACAATTGCACTGGACAATTAAACTCAACTTATTTGACACTAAATCAGACACCTTAAAAATGTAACTTGATTATTTCTCTTTCTCTCTTTTTTCTCTTTTTTGGAAATCTGAACAGACAGTATTCAGTTTTTCTTAGAGTAATCATTAAACATCTAGAACTATGATCCCTTCTTACTAAACTATGACCTACCTGGGATGGTGAAAACAGATGCCGTTTTAAAGGAACAATGGCTCCATCCACTCCAATCCACTCCAATCCAGTCCCGTTCAATCCTATTCACTTATAATGCCCTACTTGCAAAAGTCACAGCTCATAGCTGTCTCCCTTCCCCACACCCCCTCGCTCCATTGTGTATTTAGTTGCTCAGGTCACTAAGGGGTCAAAGAGCATGCAGAGTCTGCCCAAGCAATTAGGCTTATGCACTGAGTCCTGACCTTCTGCTCTGTGAGGAGGATGGCCAACATTTTGAGGTACCTTCCCTCCCACAATGCCGAACCTATTTGGAAATTGCTGGATGCAAAAATTTCTTTGCTGGCCACAGTGTTTCTACATGGCAATCTTCATGCCACCAAAACTTAGCCAGTGCCCAACTGGTAAAATTCAATTCAACAAGCACTTATTGGCCACTTAGTACGTGTTCAGCATTACTGAACATTCAGAAGACGTTCGCAGTGCCATCTATGTGTATGAGATACAGGTGGATGGCAATAGGAGAAAGTACATGATCAAGGAGCAAAAATAAGAATTATAGTCAATGGATGCCAATTATAAAGGAGAACTTTCTGGAAGCTTTACAGGATGAGAAGAATTTTTGGAGAGGCACAGAGGAGAGACAGTGACAAATGGCCTTAGGGTTTTGCTGTTAGAACCTCTGTGGACTCCCTGGAGTTTCTAAGTGGTCTTTCTCCCTTTTCTGTGTCTGCTCTGCAATGTTCTTCTTGAAGCAGAGGTCACCATGCCCCATCAGAGCTAGGACAGGCTTGTCAGTGGGTCACAAGGCTGTCTGCCGTGTGTCATAAAAGCAGTTGTTGCTCTGGTATGGACCTAGCAGCTTGCTCTCCCCTGTTTACTGCTTTCTATGGGATGAGAGCTGTACCAGTCTGCAATGTGGGAAGATTACTCAACATGAATCGTAAGTCATATTGAGAAGAAAAGTAAACAATAGTCTGAAAAGATGCTGCAGAGCATCTGGGCAACTTGAGTTTTTTTTCCGGTAGTGACATTTTCCCATGTGTTCTTCTGATAGCTATGTGCAAAACCTTCCTGACAGGGCTCTCTTGAAATAGCAAAGATCATGAGAAGCTGCCATGCTCAGCTAGCACTTCAACAAACCTGCCTCAGGAAAACACCCCAACACTCCCAAGTCTCTGATGCCTCCCTGTGCCAAGAAGGAGGAAGATATGGAACTGTTTATAGAATGGTCCTTGTGTAACTACAGTGTTAGGACAAACACCAACCTGGCCAAACAACTTCTCCCAGGCCCAGTAATCTCCACAAGGGCAGTGACAGGGTCATTCTCACTCACTGATTTATCCCAGCACATAGCACAGTGCCTGGCACAGTCTGTTCATGCCTGGCATACATATTTGTTTGGATGAATGGGTGAATGAATAAATGAATGGAGTTTTCAAGCATGCTGTTCATTTTCTTTTTGTCCTTTGTTCACTGTAGTTGAGGAGCCAGCCCCCTGCCCCACCAACACACACACATTCTGCACACCCTCTGGTATCTGAGCCAGTACCTGGAGATACTCCTTGTTGGAATCCAAGTTGGGGGTCCAGCCATTGTCATCACCATGGAGCCGGCTTTGCTGAGGAGTCCACCTTCCATCAGAGTAGGTAGATGAGGCACTAATCTGTTCATTAGCAATCCGGCCAGACTCCATTCCCAGAGGGACATTGCACTGAAAGTCTGAGGAATGGAGACGGTCAAGGACAGTTAGGCCTCTCAACCTCAAAGCCCTGGGATCCTGCAAACACCTCTCCCTTCTAGGGACAAGTCCTTACAGGCACTCCCTCATCTAAAAGACCCTAATTATATGCTCACATTTTAAAAACAACTATGCCAAGTCATAGAGCTTATCAACCCCTCCGGGTCTGAAAGAACCTAAATTGGACCTAAAAGAAATCAGGCTGTGGATAAATAAGAATCATCATACAAATTAAAAATACAATCTAAAGCTCAAGAACTGTTACTGCTGCAGGCTACGGATGCTCACAGACAGCAGATGTGCTGTTATTGCAATACAGGTAAACGTGAGATAGACTCGTGGCAATCTGGGTGGGCTGATACATCGTGGGAAGCCTGCTTTCTAATAAACACCCAGGAGGCACTTTTACTTTTTTCTTTCATTCAACTGTCTTGTGAGTTCTGGCACAGAAGACAGACATAACAGAGCATAAATACTTGTCTTTGGGAGACCTCTGTGAGCACATACATGTCACTCTATATTCCCTTGCTCCACCTGTCTGGGCAAACGAGCCCAGAAGTCACTTCTCTGGCCTTGTGCCATCAGTGAAATTGCTGTCCTTCCTGTGGAAGCCATGGACGGTGATCAATATTTGTGTGTGCATGTGTCTGATAAGGACCAGCAATCTTTTTCAGATATCAAACCTATTCTTTAGCTCTGTGACTACACTGTCCATTTGCAGAACTGTACAATTTGCCATACTGTTTCTTTGTCACTCCAATTTTTACGAGCTCTTTGATGAAAAAAACAAAAGCAAAACCCAGAACAAAACCCAGTGATTTTCCTGCAGGCCAGGCTGCCATGTCTGTAGTTACATATGTAGTGAGCTATCTACAACCGTGGCAGGATTTCCTCTGCTCTAATCATTCTTAAAGTGCTTCTTTAGTCCTTAAAGTTGTCGTTTGGGTTTCTAAGTAGAAACGGCAGCACATTTGAAGCACATATCCAGGAGCAGCTGATTTGAAGATGTAGCTCAGGGTGAGAGATCAATGGCCTAGACCACCAGGTCCATGACAGCTGGGGTCACAGCAACATCTTCAGTGATTTGTTCAGTGCTTGGCACACAGTAGAAGCTCCAAAAATTATCTCTGTTGGAAGTGTGGAATGAAACTCAAACTACTTGTATCAGTCTAGCCAGGGAAACTCTACACAGGGCCACAGATGTTTAATGTCAAAAAATGTAGAAAGAGAGGTTTAAAATGGCTCAGTTTTGTGACAATGTCCCATGAAGCTTGGAGAGGGAGATATATGGCTCTGGACCCAAACAGTATTAGTACAGGAGGGACCCCTGTATAGATCGTTTTACTAACCTCCCCTTCATTCATAGATGAGGAAACTGAGGCATGAGATGGTCTGGTGACTGTCCCTGGGAATAACTAATTCTTGGTACACACACACACACACACACACATTTTTTTTTTAAAGAAATGAGCACCCAGATCAACATTTGTTCTTTTCTCATTAATCTTTGCCTGGCTAGAGGAGGTGGCTCCCATTTCCTGCACTCAGATGCCACCAACATTCTATACAGCTCCCATCCTCTTCTCTCACAAAGGTCAGCCTCTCTTCCCCTGTACACCCTCACAGCCCTGATGGAAGGACAGGACAGGCTCCCAGCCAGCCAACTCACTCTCCAGCGGCTCTTGGTGGACCAGGTAGTAACGTGCAGAGAAGCCATCCTTAGCCACTGCCATGTCCGTGTGAAAGGTCAGGGAGAGTATCCCTGTCGATGAACGAAGTTCAGATGGTGTTTTGGTTCCACAGTACTTGCCAATCAGGGGGCCAACTGCACATACAGGACAAAGAGAGGTCAGCAAAAATGAAAATGTCTAAATTGGTTTCCAATAAGTTCTTGCTCCCCATCACTGCATCACCTTGTACACCTTGACAAAAGACCAAAGAACAACGAAAGATATGTTTCAAGAACAATGTCTAGTATTTCCCCGTACATTAAAAAGTACTTCTACTGAGCTGGCTTCATCCTGTTCTCACGTCTGTGGGAGATGGGCTGGAAAAGTATCATTACAATGCCCGTTTTACAGAAGAAGAAATTGAGGTCCAGAGAGGTCATGTGACTATTCCTTGTTCATACCACTAGGAAATAGAGGAGCAGGGCTCAGGCTCAAGTTTTCTAACTAAATCTTGTGCTTTTCTCAGGAAATGAAATTGCTTTTTTTGCTTAGCCATCAAGTCTCCCTTAGATTGGAAAATACTTAGAATGACTACAAAAGTGAAAGATTAGTTTCCCTTCTAATACTGACTACACCCAAAATCCATATTGGTCTTCACCTGGGAAGTACAGGTTCCTCTTGGCCTTGGATGATGCAGCTTTTCAGTATTTATGACTATATTAATAATAATGATATAATAAGAATGACAGCGGCTAACTGATATAGATAAGACACAGATAGCTTAAGTAACATCCAAGGTTGCACACAGCTGGTAATAGCAGAGCAGGATTCAAGCCCGGTCAATCTGGCCCTATAGTCCTTCTATTTGGTCATAGGTTTTGGCCACTGAGTCACTTTCTATCCTGACAACTTGGAGTGGAAAACAACATCACCTATAGGGTTACTCATCCTCTCCCAAGTATTGGCAGAGTCTCCCACCCTTTTCCAAAGAAATATCTCCAAGAAAGTAGCCTGCCTTTCTGTAATTTCCCTCAAACCGTTCTTGGTGAAGGAGAAGAGAAAGTCATCGTAGGCCATACAAGAACTCTAAGCAGCTTCGAAGCCTTTGTTCTCCCTTTTTATCATTACTAAAGCAATTAACAGGCAAAGGCCAAGCTCCTGAGAAGTGCCTCATGACAGCGACGTCACTCACCATGCGGAATGCCATCCCAGATGTCCAGCCAGTCATATTTGCAGTCTCCCTCTCCCACCTGCAAAGGGTCATGCTCCAGGTCGAATGTCAGGAACTGCAGGATGATGTCCATCTTGGGTTTGGCCAGGATGGTAAAGGTGCAGTCCAAGTTGTGTGGGTACTTCTCAGGAAACCCGGGGGATTCGATGGTCCCGTTGGGGCTCGTGAAGTTTTTGGAACAATCTTCAGAGCCTGTATGTAAAAGAGAACTATAGCATGAAGAAGAAGATGCCTTTCTTTGCTGCCTCTGTCGCATGGGTTATTTAAATGTTTGGGCTCAGTAAATCCTCCTACTCTGGAGGTTTTTGTTTTCACTGGAGTGGCTCTTGAAGCAACATACTCTTCCCATGCACATTTCAAGGCCTGAAGCCAGTCCCTCTTTAGGACAGAAAGTAGGAAGGCACAGATGGCTTGCTCTGCATGTTAGAGTAAGAGCAGCAATTGAGGATTGGGGGATAGAGAGAAGTGTGTGTGTGTGTGTGTGTGTGTGTGCATGTGTGTGTGTGTGTGTGTGAGGGAGAGAGAGAGAGAGAGAGAGGGAGATTCCCTTGAAAAGAGGAACAGAGTCTTCTTTCTCAATCGCTCAGCTGCTCACTCCAGAAATGTAAGTTATTTCAATCCTTAAGGAAGGCTTGCTGATTGCCAGCAGGAAAAACAATGTCACCCCTTATTTACTGCTGACCTCAACACTAGCCCCTATTGTACCACAGCCAACTAAGTGCCCCCTTCTCCCTCCAAGATCCAAGGTGCCTCAGGGGAGGGGCAAAGGGGAGCTTGGGTCTCATTCATGTCATGACTATATTAAAACGAGCTGCTCTGTAGTGATCAGACAATGAACAATCAACGTTTGTAGCCGGTGGATCACAGCAGGGCGTTGGGGATGTTAAAGGCCGCTCCGGCAGCAAGTTTGGAAAAATGCAGCAGTGTACTGACATTTGGAAGGCTTCTGGTTCCTTTGTGGTGGGGATGGCCTTGTTTCTCTCCTAAGCTCTTGTGTGTGCTTTCTCGGGACCATGGAGCCATCCTGATTAAATGCAGCACACATTCACAGCCTGGTGCAAGCTTGGACGGCAGCAGGAGCTCCTAAAAGGATGACAGCCATCTCTCCTAATGCTTCTAGGTGGAGTCATATTAAAAGAGCCCACATTGTGCTTTAACCCAACTACCACTTGCCAGAGCAGAGCCAAAAATGGGTCCCAGGAGCACTGCAATCCAGACACACGAACCCACAGATATACATAGAGCAAGAACTGATGCAAGTTAACGTGGTGAATGAAAACACCAGACAATTAGAAGTGATTTCATTCACTACGTTCAGATTTTAAAATAAGAAAAGGAAGCAGGATTTATAAGGAGGATAATAGACACTCTAAGCACAAAGAAAAAACGCAGAAATACTCGATAAACCTGGTGTTTACTCGCAGGAAGTGTTCTCTGGGGATCGCACTGAAATATAACTATGTGATGTCAATACACTGATCTTAGCCTGCAGCGATGTCTTTATCCGCAGCTCCTGTAGCAGGCCCCTCCACAAGTCTCTTTATTGATGATGACTTTCTGGAAAGTGGCAAATGTCTGACTTTGGAAAAGGTGCCATGCAAATAAGTGCGGGACAGAAGCCGCAACTTTATTTTAGCACCAGAGAGGAAATTCCAATATCCCTTATCTATCCATCCATTGCTTCCTCCCTTCTCCCCTAAGCTGTGCCTTGGTGGGGTGGGCACTGGGGACACAGGAGGGCAAGAGATAACCTTTGCATGGGTTCTTTGGAGGTTATAAGACTGCATCTCAGAGACTCTGCCCTCCATCCTTCTGAGGGATGGCCAGAGTGGGCAGCAATCTGGGAGGGAGGAGCTAGGGTAGCCTCCCCCCCAAGCTTTGTTTATCATCAGGCCTCAAACTCCTAAAGACCTCTTCAATGGCCTGGGATGATGCAATTTGGCAAAGCCAAGCCAGCTGGCAGGTCTTCAGGGGGCCAAAAGGAATTTTGAAAAGGTTAGAGTTTATAGCTGCTATGCAGCCTTCTTCATGTGGGCCACTTAGAGGAAATTAACTCTCTATTCACAACTTGCTTGAGAGCTAGAAAAGGCATCTGACATTCCCTCTTAAAGTCTGCTCTATTGTCATTCCCTTAGAAGGCAAGGGGAATCCCTACCCCCCGGGAGTGGGGGATTTATGGTGGAATCTTTCTTTGGTCTTTCCTATCAGTGAGGGACATGTGTTTCCACGATGGACATCTAGTGAGTCCAAGGGAGGCCCAGAGGATGTGAGATTCTAAAGTATCCATGGTTTTCAGGGTCCTGAGGTCCTACATTCAACTGGAAAGAATATTTTAACCTTAGGTACTTTAACCTCCCTACCCACCAAAAAAAGTGTGCATGTCTAGCGTATGGCTACAAATGGGTATCTCTTCTGGCTTATTTTGAATGAGGTGGGAACACTTTTATCCAGTTTTGTCTTTTCTATGCAGGAAAATCAAACCTGTCTATTAAAATCACACATTTGTCTCTAATCACACCATCTCACTGTTTGCAGATGGTCAAAGCATCAGAAAGGCAGCTGAATATCAAATGCCAGAGAAGAGATCTCAGAAAAGGAGACAAAAGTTGAGTCTTGCAGATGTCTACCTAATCTAAGATCCTTTCCTGCTATGTGTTAAAAGGGTTAAAGTTTAAAAAAAATAACTCAGTTAACAAATACTCAGGTCCACTTAATGCTAAGATTGTCCATAGAAGCTGGGGGATTTTGTTTGCAGTGAATGATTTCATACCAAAGAGCTCTGGTATGAAAAATGCCCACTCCGTGTTTTTACAGTATAAATTTTATAGTAACTTTGCAAGTGGAAGAAGAATCTACACATGTAAAGTTATATAAAACATGGTGGATTTATCCAAAGCTGAGCTTGGCTTGACTGCAGGTGAATTCAGTTCTTTGATTCAGGGAGTGGGGGGTATAGTGGGCACTTCAGGGTTTCTCTATCTGGGAATGAACTCAGAAATTTTGGTTTCAGAAATGTCATGGGGCATCAGGAAAGAAAACCTGATCTTGCACTTTGGTCAAAAGAGCATCAGAAAAAATAAAACAACAACAAAAACACTTTTCACTGATGCTGTTTCCAATGTTACTTTTTAAGTTATTTAAAAATTCCTTTCTATGTTCTGCACAGGATTGAGCAATTTGAGAACGTTTAAGTTTGTGAATTATTTGGCTGGCAATGTATAGAATCTTTTACAAACCACTTTATTTAGGGCAGATACGAGCCTTCCACTCCAGCCACATGCCCCTTCTGTATGCATGTGTGGGTTTATGTCTCTTAGTGTAATTTTGCAGCAGAGCCTCACCAGGGCTTCCAGAGCCCTCTGCATGGCTATTTGTGTATCTGTGTTTACAGTTTCCCCCTTCTTTCTCTTTATGAATCCGACTGGCAAACATAGCTGTGTTTGTTTGGATTCCTTTAGCCTGTCCACCCATTTCTTTCATGTCTTGTGGCTGAACATAAACTTTGCCTATTTTCTCTCAGGACTCTGACAGTGGGAATACGGGTATAAGACATAGCACCTGGGAGAATGCTCATCTTTCTAAACTTCTTATTTTGATTGTTGCAGCCCATACATGCATGTGTTTTATACAGGGTAGACTTTCATGCTGGGAGTGCTGTCCTGGATAGGCATGGTGGCAGGTCTGAGTGGCCCTGAGAAGGCTACCAGGATCTCATCTTCTTTCTCACATTCCCAGAAGTGTGGCTGTGGTTGGCAGGGCTGTCTCTCACTGTGGACATCCCAGTCCACAGAGCAGGCAGCCCCACTGCTCCATGCCCAAGCCGCCTACCTCTGTTTCTAGGCAGTTCACCGACTCGCTGCCTCACTCAAAATCCTCCTTCAGCACGTCTTCACAACAGCAATGCTGAATCATGATACCCTCTTCTGTGTTCTGTCTTTTAATATCCTCCTTTCCAATCTGCATGATGGGCACAGCTAACATTCACTTTCTGTGGCTTTCTGGAGAATGTGGCATCACGCCTTGGCCTAACACCAGAGCGTGTTAACTGTACCCTTACTTAGTACTTACTCTGCCTCATAGCATAGTTTTCCTTTCAATTCACACATGTATTCATCAACATCGACTGTGCATCTATTATCTGCCGAGGGTTTACCTGCCTGTCTTCCCACTAGAAGATGGTAAACACCCTGTTTCATTCCTTTCTTCTCTCTCCCCATGCTCTGCAGCAGGGGATGTTCCATCGGCATTTGTGGCTTTGATCTGAATCTTACACAGGACTGAAGGGAATGTGGATCGAGCTATTGGGGGGCCTCACACCAACACCAGTCACCGGACACACAGGTGGTCAGTCCCTGTGAACTCTTCGTGGTCAGGAGCATGGAAACCTGCTGCAGATGGACCTTCTTAGGACCTGTACCCTGTGACAGCCCGGGCTCCCACTCTGGCAAGAGTTCCCCTAGCCCAACCCCTTCATTGACTCCACTTTCTTGTTCTCAAGGCAGACAAATCCGACAAATATTTAGACAGAGTGGATATAAAAAGTGCTTTCAGCAGCTACCACTTCCTTTCAAGAACTGTTTAGTGAAAAAGAAAATATATATGAATAGTTCCCCTCACACTGAACTCCACAGGCGCCGGTCTTGGGCCCCTCGATGTCAAGACTGACAGCTTCCCCTTGAACTAGACTCCATCTACAAGCTGTAAAACTTAGGCCGCTGGAGAGGGGAGAGGGAGACACACTGGCAGATGGAGTGGGAGCCCCTGAGGTGGGGGGTGGGGTGGGGGAGAGGGGAGAATCAGAGGATCTGCTGCCCTCAGCCTGGAGATAATGAGCTCCACACACTGGAGACGAGGACATGCTACTCGGAGCGCCTGAGTGTAGATGCTGAAGCAGCATCTTGTGAATAAGTCTGCTCTCCCAGTTATGGAAATGAGCACTGGCCCGTATTCTCAGGGCCTAAAGTAATCTAAGGGAGACCTAATGGAAATCAGGCAGTCAACTTAAAACAAGTGCAGTGTTCTCTGCCTCTATTTCTGTTTTCTTTCTGATTGCTTCTCAGGGAGTCAGCTTCACTGGCATGTAGGAAGTAGGGGTTCGATGGACAGAGGTGGTGGAATGGATCGCCAAGGGGAATTTCTAGGAGCCACATTTTAATATAAGAGTTAGGGCGTGACCCCATTTGCGGGGTCCTGGTAAGATCCTTACGGACTCTGAACAATGAAAAGATTATGTCCTTCAACCCCATGTAATTCCAAATAAAGGCAACACTAAGCCATGAAGTAATTGGGAGGACATTCAACCAAGTTTTGCTTTTTCCCATGAAAATTATTTTGATTTCTAAAACACACACAAATCAGATTGTTTCAGAAGACGTTTTTCTATTAATTTGTGCTCCCACTCCACTGTTCTTCTGCCCACCACCCTGCGACTCGACTCGCTCGTCCAGTTGGATGGCAACCTGAAGCGTCTTTTCATCTCGGGAACCTCCAGGCTCACCTGGAACCTCTCTCCCCTGTGCCACCGCTCAAGCCAGGTGGAACCAGGACCCCTCGCACCGCCCTCCACCCCGGGCCACACTGACCTGTCTTGAAGATCTCATAGCGCAGGGAGAAGCCCGCCCCCTGCCGGGCGTAGTCGGAGGTGAACTTGATGTACAGCATGGAGCCCGAGGAGATGATGGTGGGCGGGGCGATGTTCCCACAGTGCTTGCCCAGGAGGTCCGCGGATTCACTGTCCCCATCCCGAATCTCAATGAAGTCATACCTAGGTGGGCACGGCACAAAGGTGTGGGAAAACAGCACTCTAAGGAGAAGAGAAGGTCCATTGGGTGCCTCCACTCTCGTCTCTCTCCCTTCATTTATAGACATTCAGGTGTTTCAGGTTGATAAACACAGGGCACTTATGTTCACTGGTACAGACTGGCAAACATAGCTAGAGGAGGCTGCACTGCTTCGTTAAAGTCAGAGTGAATGAGCACATGGTGGAAGGCCTTAGCTCCTGCCCACGTGAGAGCAGGAGCATCATTCTACCAAAAACGCGTTTTTTTTTCTTCCTTCAGTAGCACCATTTTTATTTCCATGACGATCTCTCTGAACCTTAGTCTCTCCTTCTTAGCTCTGTGTCATTGCAAATTCCTCAACCCCTTTGAACATCAATTTCCTCATCTGTAAGGTGAGGATGAAAAGGTTGGGATGGAGACGGAATGAAAAAATATATGGAAGGGGCTAGGCACCGTGCCAGGAACACTGCGGATGTTTCAGAGATATTTGCTTATTTTCCTGTCCCCCTACCACCTTTCAATTTTTTCCTGCGTCATCCCCCCTTTGTTAGTGATAGACTCCCCATCTGTGGGCCCACTCCCTCCCTAAGATGACTCTGCGAAGTTCACATCAGCAGTGCCTAGTCAACATACGTTTTTAAAAGGAATCAGCATCATACTAGATAAGGCAATAAAAACCTTTCTCCAAAAGCAGGGGGTGAATCCCTGGAGACCAGCCTCTATGAGCAATGACTATTAGCCTCAGCCAGAGGCGGAGGGGCTCCCTCCCTAAGCATTTCAAACAGAGTCAGACTCGCCCGGGGTGGGGAAAGACACCTTCAGAGACACCCTTGGCTAGGTTCATGGGGTGGTGCACACATAACGTGCCATTTATCTTCACAGACACACTTCCAGCCTCGGTCTGTGCTCTGGCAATCTTCACTGTGCTATGTTTGTGCTCCCTTTCAGAGCTCCCAGTTAATACTCCTGTCACAACCGCTTAGGTGGGAAAATTCCTCCCCACCAGCTCCCTTCGAATTGCTGGCCACTGTACCATTATTTACTGAAAACCATCCGTCTCCCTCTCCCTCCCTCTCTGTTTGTTTATTTTGCATCAACCTGTTAAAACAACAAGTAAGAAATCTCTTCCTTGCGGGTAAAGGGAGGGGCTGGGAATTGTCCCCTCTCTGGGAAGTGCCTGCTGGCTCCTGTCGCATGCACAGGATCAATGGGAGCCAGTTGCCTGCAGGGGTGGATGCTCTGAGCTGGAGTGGCCTGAGGCCTCACCTCAGTCCCCTGCCCAGAAAGTGCTCAGCCACTTCCAAATAGATAGGCCTGTGAAGGAAGTAGAAGTAGTGGACTAGCATTGGTGCATTCTTAGACCCCAGAGGCTGTGCATTTACAGTCAAAAGAATCTCTGAAGCTGGTTAGAGTCTGGAGAAGTCGAGATGGCCACAGATTGAGAGGGGGGGAGGGGGAGTTTGTGTAGGTCTGTGATTTTACTGTGGGAGGCAGTAAAAATCTGCTTCCTCACTTGCAAAACAAAAGTGAAGAGGCTTAGTTCGTTCTCAGAGGAAACTCCCCAAACCTTCTAGAAAACCCCTCCTTGCTATTTCCACATTGATGTAAGCATGACTGGACGGTCACTCTCCACTGAGAAATGGAGATGCCCTAGCAATGTGCTCCACACCTGGGAAGCCCTGCCACCTGCAGTCATTAATCAGACATTATCGTGTTTACCCGGACTAGGGAATTCAGGGCCCTGGGCGCAAAAGTCCCAATCCCCTAGGCAGACAGAGCTGGGTTTGGATCTGGCTTGACCACTTTTTAGCTGGGTGCCCTCAGGCAAGTTATTGAATCTTTCTGAGCCTCAGAAATGGGGAAAATAGGAGTTATATAGGAATATTAGAGCCTTTCTCTTAGGATTGTTGTGATGTTTAAATAACTGAATCTGATCTATGTAAAGTGGTAGTCCATAGCCTGGCACTCAGCGTGTGCTCAGTGAGTATTCACTGTGATTTGTTGTACTCACGCCCATTTCAGAGGCGAGGAGGCTGAGCCACAGAGCAGAAACGACTTTCCCTAGGAGAGAGAGCAAATGAGCAGAGGTGCAGTATCAGCGGGAATGGAAATCTGTTCAAACATTTTGGAAGGCATTTTGGCAAAATGAGACAAAAGTTAATATGTACATAGCCTTTAATCCAGCAAGCCTACTGCTGGAAATTTTTCCTAAGAAAATAATTGAACAATTGTGCAAAGATTTATATGCATCTTTGTGCATTTATTTTTAAAAAGCATTTGAAAAGTGGGATGATACTTGGACAGCATCATGTCTAAAAGTCTAGCCATAGACCTTTAGAGGGTGGGTAAATCAAATTTGGTATTTTTGTAAAATGGAATACTCTGCTGCTATTGTAAATAGCACTGTAAGGTCTAGATTTTTTGCTTTCATGGAAAAATGTTCATGATGTACCATTAACTTTAAGAAAGTAGACATTTTTGGAAGTGTGTTCTAAAATATATACATTTATTTCCTTGCATAACTTGTACAGAAAAAGTTTGAAAGACTATATACTAAAGTATTAATAAGTGAGATATATGGGTGGTGGGACAACTGGTAATTTTTACTCTCTTTTGTTCTCTTCTATTGCCTGAATTGTTTATGATGAGCCTGCATTTCTTCAATAAGTCAAAAATTTTTAAAAATGATTGCATTGTGTTTTTTTCAAAGTAGAAGAGCTGAGAAAAAAAATCCAGCTCTCATGATCTAGCAGATGAAGAAGTAAATTCATCATCATCATCATCACCATCACCATCCATCTCACAGAATCGGAGTCAGGACTAAATAAGACGCAACCCTAGAACAGTGCCCGGGACGTGGCCCACATGCAATAATAATTTTTTAAAAATTATTTTTGAAGACCATCAGATAGCTCTAGTCTTTGGGTTGCCAATTTCTCTGGGAAGGACAAAGAGAGGCCCTGACATCCCACTGGCCTGTTCACCAGAAGTGGGAGAGGTTTATGTGGCTGCCTAATCACCCATGGAGTAATTTAGGGGATTAACAGAATCAGCAGTAGAGCAGGGCTACCCGGCAAATGCCGCAGTTATAAGCTGGCCTCAATTTACTCAATGGCTATACCTCCTCAAATCTGTTTTTGTGATGTGGACAGCAACAAATAACTCCTTACCTAGCTACATACAAATACAGTAAAGGCATACATTTTTGAAAAGGCTCAATCACATTATACATTTTTTCTCTGAGCTTGTTAGTTAAAGAACCCCTCTGGTAAATCCTTCTGTGAAGCAAATAATCAGACTTTACCTGAACTCCTTAGAAAAACTGGATTTTCCTATCAGGTTTGCTTGAAGGAAAGTGACCCAGAGTTACAGTTTGGCTGAAATACCTCCTCCCTCCAGTGTCGTGGTTCTGCTCATTGGACAAGCCCCACTTAACCACAGGGTCTTCTGGCTGGGCTTTTTATGTAAAGGGCACACTCCAAATGACACGCTGACTTCATACAGAATGTCTCATTTACCTCCTGTGTGACTGACTCATTTGGGGAAATTTTTTATTATTAGGGATTTGCTACAGCTGGAGTAAATCTTAGAAATTTCAGTGTTGTCAGGTTCATTTGGGAAGAGCTCGGCAGAGGCTTAGGCAGTTTGTGGCCTTGGAATAAATATGGCTTTGCATCTAGCATCTAAGATCTAGTGTTTGTTTGGTAAAGGCATCTGGGGTACAAACTCAGAGCTCACCCCAATGAGAGTCAAGTAGGATAACTCAAAAAGCTGCTCCTCTTAGAACTTATTACTCATTTTCCAGAAGGCAACATAAACCAGCTAACATATTAACTATAGTGTTTGCATTTCATTATTCATAATCTCTCTTAAATGAAAAAATTCCTTTCAAAGCTTTAACACTACCTTTTATTATTTTATTTTATTTTTTTTCCTGAGCTGAAGTAGCTATCCCTGCTCCTAGTTTTTTTCTCTCTAAAATGGTTCCCTGAGTGCCTTCTTAATTTTCTCCTCACAGATTCCAACATCTGCATATTGAGCATTTGCTTTCTCTACTTTCCTCCTCAACTTCAATGTCTTAATTTCTTTCCTCAAACCCATGTTTGGGGTGTGGGAATCTTGATGGTGGAATTAATTTTAAAAGTCCACTGGAGAGATATGGAAAAGCCACAATCTCATCTCTTCCTCTCATCACTAGGCAAACGACGTAGAAAGAGGCTTTCTAGTTTCCAAAACTCCATCCACGCTTGGCACTTGCCAACAGGGTACCAAAGGCTGGGTTAGCCAACGGAGTCTGTGCCAGAAGATTCACCAAGCTGTGGCCCTTCTCTTAGGGCAGACTAATGTCCAGTCCCTGTCAGAGTCTACCTTTAGGGATGCCACATACAAACGCAAGTGAGGAGATTTCTATATCAGAGATAGAGCACTTAGGTCCTCTGAATAAGAATACTATGCCCATTTTATGGGATTTGGGTCTACACATCAGAACACCTGTGCCCACACCCTGATATCATCCTTTGCCAACCAGGTAATGCCTCCTTTCTCACTGCTTGTATCAAAAAATGTTTAAGACCTTTCATATATGGCAAACTCTTTCTAGTCCCTGGGCTTTTGCACCTGCTCTTTTCTCTGCCTGTAACACTCTGTTAGCTTTTTCTGTGGCTGGTTGTTTCTCATCCTTAAGTGCTAATGTCACCTCCTCAGAGAAGTCTGCCATGACCACACTATTTTCAGATGGCATCCCCTTATTCTCAATCTTACTATCCTCTCATTTCCTTTATAGCAATTGTCATAATCTGGGAAGGTCTTTTCAGTATACTTGTTTATTTGTTTATGTTCTGTCTACTGCACTAGACAGTAAGCACCATGAAGGCAAGGACCTTGACTTGGTGCCCAGCAAACAGGAGAACTCACTGACTTTCTGTTGTATGAATAAATGAGTAAGAGACTTGAGGTTGCTGTTACACGTTAAGAAGAATGTATG